GGGGGGGGGGGGGGGGGGGGGGGGGGGGGGGGGGGGGGGGGGGGGGGGGGGGGGGGGGGGGCCTGTAGAGAGATTGTTTGCTTTGGGTACGTTTTTCATTCATTATTTTATTAGTTTTATACTTTCTTTCTAGTTTTTGAGTTTTGGCTTTAGAAAGGTATGGGAGAGTTTACCGGCCCTCTCAAATTGGCTGGGAGTTGTATTGCCCTAGGTTCCTCTTAAGAACAACATATGGGAAAGGGATACCTAACAATTAGGGTTCTTAGAAGAGGGTGGATCACTTTAGTAGCATAGTCCATTGCGGGATTTGGGAGAGAGAGTTCTCTCAAAAGGCTGTTTTCATATTGTAATTTTCCTTCGATATTGCAATATATAACTACCTTGTGTTTTGGGTGTTCTCTCTAAAGGCTGATGTTATATTGAAATTTTCCTTTGATATGGCAATATATAACTATCTTGTGTTTTGGGTGTTCGAGTACCTAACAAATGTATTACTCTTTATTTATATGGCTCAATCACAACAAAATTTATAAGACCAATTTGAATTGAAATACAAGAATTGAATCATTACAAAAGAAAGCTCCAAGGGACCAATGTTACAAGAACTAATGTGAAAGGACTAAAATTGTGCTTCGCATGTTTTTTCAACAACCAGAAGCAAAAACAGAACCAGCAGGAGACCAAAGAATCAAGAAAAGACAACTAGTAACATCCACCACAAAAGCAAATATCAACTAACTGAGAGGTGTCATGGACGTAATGGGAAAGATGCCACTACCCTTTTGTTGTAGGAAAATATGACTTACACAGATGTTAGTTAACAAAGTATCATCATTTTACTACAGATACAAACCCACATCACTTCATTAAAAGAAAACTGCAGATTACTCAGCCATACCGGAGAATTAAAAGTCCACAAATTGCAAATATCTAACGGACTTACAGGAAAACTGATTTCCACCCGGAGCATCAGAGGAAATAGATGCATCCAAATTACGCTCCCTTTTCTTCCTTTCGACATCAGCAACTGCCTTCGTAGCTTCCTATGTTAAAGAAGAATAAAAACACGCTATTTGCTAAAAAAAAATATGTTATCAAAGAAAAGGTTAAAGATCATTCTTGCCTCCACAAGTGCCCATCAAACAGAATATATTAGGGACTATAGAGAAAAATAAAATTGCAGTCAACGTATGTATCATTATCCAACTTCGAACAAACCTCATTAGCTTTCTTTGAGTGCTTTTCAATGGATTTGGACCACTTTAAACTAGACCTGCCAATACTTAGTACCTTGGATTTTCTAAGTGAAAATCCATGTTTTGATCTTTTATAAACTGTGTTCCTGTTCCTCATCAGCAACAATTTTCTGGTGAAACAACATTGGAATTACCACTTGTTGATCCAAACAGCCACCTTTTGTTGAAAAGAGAAACATAAATAAATAAGAACAGAAATCTTTAATGCACCACATGCCTGACAATAGAGAAAGAGCTGTTTCTCTGAGTAGAAGCGTTTAGCTTGAAGGTCTTCCAATGTGATCTTTTCCAAGGAAAAAGACGAGGAGCCATCTTATGATTCTGCAAATTACCACCACCAATTCCTGGAGCAACAGAAGTGCGAAGTGTCCATACCAAAGAGGACTTTGACGGCCTATATGTTCTCACTACAGCTGTACAGAAAATCTATATTCAGTTTTACTATGACTACAGATCATTGTAAAACAGCATCAGGATGAATGTCAGGAAAACTAAACCCACACTACAAATGCATTATAGAAAATCATATATAAGCAGAAATGAGGGCTATTAGGGATAAGCATACTTGGGCAAGAAATATCAAACAGTTGAATCACAACGATTTAGACTTGTAAAAACAAAAGCCAGCAATAATTTAATAAAGCTATTCTCTTAAATGAAAAACAATGATTTAGATAGTCTTATCAGTGTTTTTGATCGAGGTACCACAGAGGACAGACAAAACAAAAGTTGAAAAGGAAATACATGAAAAATCTAGATCTCAAACATTTTGAGACTATAAAGTATGAGCTATAAAAATAAAAATAAAAAATAAAAAATAGAAAAAATTAACACTATATCACACATATATGAATTGACAGTTCATGTTCTATGTTCTAACCAAGAAAAGCAAGTTCCACAAGAAAAAGAAGTGCCTCGTTTATTTTTTTAACAGTAAACAAATTTTCCATTGTTACGAGTATGTTCAAAGATACAAAAAAAAAATCACATAAGAAATGAAATTAAAAAGGAGAAAATTATAAACCTTCCATCGAAGGACATGAAAATTTGAAATCGAAAGTGGCTGGTAGCTAAAGCTATTACCAACAAATACATATTTAACGCATTAATAGGAAATATGATGCTGAGAATAAGAGCTTGCAATGAAAGCACTAAAAATGCTCCAAGATATGCAGAGGCAGACACGAGGGATAAAAAGTTGGAAGAACCTGGTAAAACTGCCACATCTCTATGATGTGTGTACATTCATAAGTTTCATCCATTGTCCAACAGTATAATGAAATATAAAAATTTAAGATCAAAATCAAGATTGTTCTAAGATATCGAGATACTGTATAAATAGAAACATACAAAAGCTACGAAATAAAAGCTAATGTTTAGCTATTATACCTTTATATTGTTGTATCTTATCAAAACTTCTAGCATCTCCATCTCCATAAGAGCTTGGACCTCCTGGGTTCAAAATATCTTCGGTGGGGAGTGAAGTCTGCTTCATCTGACATTCTGATGATGCCCTGATCAACTGATTCTTTTTCTTCTTGTAATAGCCATCGGAGGCCAAGGAACAAGTAGTCTCCATATTTTTAGTTGATAAATTACAGGGTTTAGAAGTAGCAACCAACTGATTTGACTTGCTCTTTACATACACCATCTTTTTTACAACTGAAGAAACAAAATTCTTGTCTTTTTTTTCAGTCAGATGTTCTTTCTTATCAGCAGTACCAACCAGGCTTTTAGGAGCTACAAAAATCTTCGAGGGATCCCCAACAGACCTAGACAGATCACTAACATGTTTAGACTTCGTGAGATTTGATTCAGGTTCATGGCAAGGAGATGGTGCATATTCTGCATAGGGAATAGGATGATTGGGCGACCCAGACCCACTAGATAGTTGGGGAGGAAAGGGCTTATCAATAGGAACATCAGTTCCCCTTACTTTAAAATGGACAGGAGGATTAGCCACCTCAACCTTACCATTAGATTTTATATTAGGTCTGCAATCATGTTGATCAGATGAGCTTGAACTTAAATCATGGGAGCCTGAAACTCGAGCTGCAACTGGAGATGGCTTTCGAACTAGGCTGTTACCTTTACGAATGTACAAAGTACTCTCAAGCATTCCATCTCCACCATGTAACTGCCCTTGGGAAGGAATAGTACTTGATAAAGCCGCATTTCCAGGAACTGGAACTAGAGTGTTAACATTCCGATGCCAACTTCGGGGTTTTGTACCAAGAAAACTTCTATCAGATGCTATCTTCTTTGACGCAGTGCATGTGGAAAAAGATTTACCAGGAATTGTCTGATATTTGTGATAAACCATATTCTGATTTTTCTTGCACGAGTTGGCAGAACGATTGTCAGCTTGAAGTCCACTTTTTAATTCTACCAATGCCCGTGATACTACTTTGCCAGCAGTCAAATTGTTGTCAGAATTGGTACAACCTAATTTCTGATTAATGGTCGTAGGCTGTGGAAATGAAGTATCATTCGATGCCCTTAATTCATTTTCAGCACTAGATTTCTCCTTCACCTTTTTGTCATATTCACAATCCATTTTGAAGTCAATATTTCTGAGAGATACCTCACGATGTAATTTATCTATCCCATGAACATTGGAGGTTTCTGGAGAACCCAAATCCCCTTGGGTATCACTTGCAAGGCCTATAATTTCATTGTCAGAATTGGCAGTGAGGCAGCTGCCACCATCAGCACATCTTTCTATATGATGCATATTATCCTGGCCAAGATTACAAGATGCTTTAACTGCTTCTGGATATGAAAAATTTAAGGTCTGAGAGGATGGAACTTGAGGACTATCCCACTGTGCAGTCTTATTACAAAGCATAGATTGTGCTTCAGCATGAATATTTAGTTCTTTTCTTCTACAAATGACTACATCCAAATCATTTCTTTGATTTGGTGCCATTGTGGGAGTACTGCTGTCTTCTTTCTCATTTCCCAATGAAGAAAGTGGTTGACATTTTGAAACAATCAACTCCTCCTGGATTGAGCGAGAGTTTTCTGGTTGTTCATATTTCAAGCAATACTCAAAAGGACCATCATCAATATTTATTTTTTTGGAATTTTCCTTTTTCGGTATCTCATCGAGCATCTTGCTGATCCCTTTCGAACAATCTGTAGAAACAGGACTAGCTTTGAAAAAAGCATCCACAGTAGATGCTGCAGCCTCCTCTCCTTCCATTAACTCAACATTAGAGGTTAACTGATCATTTAAACTAGAGATGACTGTAAGTGCAGGCACTTCATTAGATTCAACACCGGGGCAAGGCAAAACAGGACTAGCAATGCATATCTTTCGCTTCTTTCGGGACTTGATCTCATTTCCTCTATTATTAACATCAAAGCCCATCAACAACTTATTTTTTGACGACTTACCTAATAAATTGAAATCAGGCACTGGACTCTCTTCAGTGGTGGTAGGATTTACATCTATTATTATGCTTCCATCACCAGAAACACCCTGCTCTGAAGGGCAATAATTTTTAGAATTAGAACGTACACATAAATCCACAGAATTCGTCTCCTGATTGATGTCACGAGAACCTGCAAAATCCAAACAATTATTAATTTTACTCACCTTTGACAATGATTTCTCACCTTGTCCACCACTAATTGAAACCTTATCTTTGGCAGATCTTTCTACCGAACTAATACCTAGTGAAGCAGAACTATCCATAGCTTTCGATTCTCTCATTGCACTACCAATCCTCTCACAATTAAGAACCTCATTCACTCGTATATTAGTACACTGACGACAGTCATTTGAATCTTGATTAGTATGTTGTCCACTGTTATAGTCTTGCAAATTTTTGGAATCAATCTGCTGCATTTCAGATGCTTCTGGATTTACGCCCACCAAAGAATTGCTAATTGTAACTTTTGCTGCAGATACTCCCACGACATCAGTCTCAGGAGGTCCAGTTACCCTGTTGGCACATTGCTGGCAAATTCCATCAGCTAAAAAAGTTTCACAAAGTGGATTATCTTGAACCTGAGTTACCCCATTATCAAAATCCATGGGAACGTCTTTATTAACAGCCAAACTATTTCCCTTTACAAGATTATCATGTAGATTAGGATCATTTGAACTCACTATTCCAGACTGACTGCTTCCTAGGGAAAACATGATAGATTTAGACCCTTTACTATATACATTCTCAAATGACAAGTCTTCTTCATTCCCACAAAGTTTAGGCTTGATTGACTTCTGACATTCAAAATCGAAGTCATTAGGTCCATTTGATAGTTTAAGATCCTTATTAGAATTTAAAAGAGGTGGAACGGAAATGAAAGAACTGTTTCTCTCAATTTGATTACTAGATCCTCTTGCCTCTTTTATCAAGGGATTCAAAGGAGAATCGAAGTTATTTTTATTACTATCATCTGCAGGTACACATTCCATGCCCATATCAGTGTTGGCTTGAAACTCTTCTGATGTTATAGGCAGGACAGACTGATCTGCTTTTCCATTATCTAGTGATCCAGACATACCATGCTGAGAAGCCTTCAACGCAGAACCATGATCTGAGTTCATTCCAGATGTGGAAGACTTGTTTTCTGAAACCGGCGGAATATTTTTCAAGCTACATGCTTTCAAAGGGTTAACATTGCTGCTTCTTGTCTGTAAATACAGTCGGGGACTTCCTACCTTCTTCACTACTTTCCTCACAACCTTTTTCTTCTTCATGGTTCTCACAGTAGCTACTTTTCCATAAGCATTCCTTCCTTTTATACCTGACACCATTCCTTGTGAAGGTCTTTCAACGTTAGTTTTTCTAAGTGAATAATTGCCCTTAACCAAAGAAACATCTGTTAAATTGTTAGATCCATTACCAGCCAACGAACCTGTAGCCTTCTCATCTGATTCTTTCAGCTCATTTTTAGAACCTGGGGGGCATGGGGCAGGATTTGTAACATCATTTGTGCCTAAATCATCCTTGTTCTTACCCGTTAAATGCAAGTCAGTAGAGTTATGGTGGGGAACGAGAACCAAAACATTTGTAGTTTTTTCATATCCAGGCATTTTATCCATATGAGAAGTCGGAGCAGACTGTGTTGGTGTCACGATTGCCTTGGCCACCAATGAATTGGATTTAAAAGAAACATCAAGCTCCATAGGACTTCCCTGTCTCTTCTTCCCTGCATCTATTCTGTAGCCCTGAGATCGAACCTGATTTTTGCCTCTGTGGAAACCGTTCTTCTCATCAAAATAATCAGAATCGTGTAATTGTTCACTCTCTCGGTTACCGTGACAAGGATTTGCCATCTGAATTCTGAGAAAAGCACTCTTTTTCTGTACCTGCTTCCGTGGAGTGGACATGTACTCATTATAACCTTCTATACTATCCTTATTGTCACTGTAATATTTTCCTGATTCTGGATTAGAATGTCCATGCTTACCAGACATAATTCGAAAATCACTACGGTCACCATATCCTCTATCATTGCTTCCATCTGAGTATGAATTGTGCATGTTTCTAAAGGTTTGTTTGCTATGAACCCATCTCTGATTTTTACCCACCACATTACCATTCCTACGACTCCTAAAAGATTCTTTTTCATAATTCGAGCCATAGCGATGTTTATCAAAACTACCAGAAGTAAATTTGTTATCTCTAGATAATGGACTCTGCATCGCTCCAGATTCCATAAAGGTGATATTGGAATCAGCTTTAAGCTGATCGTGGTGATAATAATTCTCCTCACCTCGTCCCCGTAGCACCTCTTCTCTTGGATTTGTCTGAAATCTATCATTGTATTCCGCTCCCCGCCTAGAACTACTACCTGAACTATACCTAAACATATCAGGGGGCGGATACGGCATGACAGATCTGTAATCAATTTCTCGGTGGCCAGCTCCATGCTGAATATCGATAGGAGAATGCGGAATTGGAGGTCGATTATCCGCAGAGCCTCTCGATGGATCCGAAATATCAAACCGAGTTTCATGGAACGAATGATTTAGGTCAACAAAATCGCGGTGAAACCCTCCGTCGAAAGAAACTCGACTGGAAAGCGGAGGGGAGCGCGGAAATTCGCGAACAGGGTGGGGAGACCTCAATTGGTCATCATGAATCGAGGAAGAAACAACGAAGTGTGGTTGAGAGGGATTATAACCTAGCGGCGGTGCTTGTGACGGGAGTGGATGAATCGGAGGATGACGGTACGACGGCGGTGGCGGTGGCGGCCGCAGAGGGAAATCTAGCCCTTTATCGGGAATGTTATGAAGAACCTGATGGTGATTGGAAGGGAAGTGGAAATTGGGATCGTCCGGAAAAAAAGGGTGAGGAAGAGGGGCGGAGGAAGGAGGAGGAGGAGGAGGAGGAGGAGGAGGAGGAGAGATATACCTGGATTGATCCCGTTGGTGGTAAAGAAATGGAGGCAAATCCATGGCGGAGATCAGATCTGGTTGGGCGGCCACTGTTTATCGTCTTGATTGGATTTGGACTTGGAATTCATAGCGTTACGGCAAAGTCGTAGTAACGGCAAAATCCTATGGATATGACCAATCGTGACGGAATTTGAATACACAAAAACAAGATTTTCTTTTGTTCTTTCTCCAAAATCATAACATTCATAGTCACAATTATTTCAAAATTTAAGATCCAAATTTTATAGTCACAATTATTTCAAAATTTAAGATCCAAATTTTACTTTCTTACAGCATCTGACCAATATTTATTGGTCTGCAAATTAGGGTTTAGGGTGAATTCAAAACCTATTCAATTTTTTATAAGTATTTTTATGAGTATATGAAATCAAACTTATATTGATTTTAATTTAGATAATTTAAGCACATAATTCTATTCACTCGTTCGTGTCTTATGTCTAGATACAAAAGGCAAAGTTTCATTTCTACACGACTTTCTTGAATTGTTTTTATAAAAACGTGTTTGGTTACACTTTTCAATGTTGAACTTTATACAATGAATGCTAACCTAAGTGATTAGGGACGCTCGGTGTGGCACTACTAAAATTGAGAAGAAATATGACAAAGTGTTGAACAATTCTAAGATCCGAGCTCATTTTGAAATCGAAGCGGTCGAAGAAGAATCAAACTCAGATGAAATGAGCTACGCAAATGGAAATTGAGGTGAATACAGATTTCTCGAACAAATGATGGACAGTCAAACGAATTAACAAAGAGAACAGGTTTGAACCTCTAAGAATTGAATGACGAGTGGAAGACAAACACGACCAAATTGATGTACGACTTCAAGCAAGTGAGAAGTCGAGGTTCTTAAGCCGGCCAACGAGGGCACCAAATTTACATCCCTCATTTTCAACTTTAATGTTTGAATTTAACACTTCTTAAACATGATTTTCATGCTAAAAAATTAATTTTGAATAACTAAAACCATGTTCTAATACGACCACAAAAATGACTTTAAAATTTTCAAAATAACTCCCAAAAGTGCCCTTAAATCACCCTGAAATCATATCAGATTCAGTCTATAGTGCATGTTCGGCATTATAGTACTTCTCCATCATAAGATTGTCTATGACTATAGAAGTTGCTCCAGTTAACTGAGAACAATAAGCATCTTTAAACTCAGAAAAAGTATCAAATAAAAGGTAAGAGCAAAAAATAAACAAAAAACAAAAAGAATTCCTATATCATCCCCTTCCATAGCCCCACTCAAATCTAGCACCATCATCAAAGTAGTACCTGAACCTTCTGTAATACACTTGGTCCCTGCAAGGAGCTTTTATATAAAAACCGTTCGGCCCCCTCTTCGACTATGGCGGTCATATGCAATGTTGAATTTTTCAATCAGCTCATTCATTGCACTGGATGAATAGTGTTTCGCATGAGGGAAGGAGAGGGGAAAAAGTATCGTGTTAGCAGATCAACAAATATTTATTTTTTTCCAACAAGAACAGGGCATAGGATCACAATAGTAATTATACCATCAACTTAATTCTTGACATTCTCGCTATAGTAAGATACTATCAACGGAAATTTGAACAAAGAAAGGAAAAAAGAAAACAGAAAGTTCAATTAACTTAATCAATCAACCAGATATTTCGAAGTTGACCAACCTACATGCACCCGTATGGACAACCTTTATGAACAAGATCCTAACTTGTAAGGCTTGATTACATCAGGAGATTTATACAAGCCAGGAAGGTAGAAGTACCAACCAAGAGTTAAGAGTGTGTATCGACATTGGATATTCATTCAGTACAGGCATGCTCATGTATACTCAATACACTATCTAGAATGTAATCTTTTCCTTTCTAAATTCAAACATATTTGGAACAAGTGATGGACACGTCTAGTTTGAAGAAAATATATACACGGAAATAAACTAATTGATAAAAACTTCAATTTGACTTAATATGTAGAAGTGGAGACATATACTGCTAAGTGCTGATTCTATTTTTTAAGATCATATGTTACCGAGCATATGTTTGTGATTCTTATCTAGTTAGCAGCCATATGTAGTATTCCACATCTAGGGATGTATAATATATAATTTACTAAACAAAATATTTTCATACACTACTACGAAAAAGTATAAAACGAGATCAGAAATATCACACCTTGAGCAATTAGTGGACATTGCTAGGTATGTAATCAACATTGTATCAGTATATTCCTGAAAGGTGGGAGATTATGGAAGTATGAATAACTAATCACAAAATCAAGGTAATGTCTAAAATTTTGGAGCAAATGTTTGAAGTTTTTAACTGCAGGAAAATCAAGGCCAAGCGAAATGAGACATGTGAGATGCGAGAGTACTCACCGTCAAGAAATCATCTCGAAACTTTTCTGATTCAATAACTGGTAATCTTCTGAGTAAACTAGACACTTGTCTTAGTAGAGAATTCTCCAGAGGAATATCACCTGATTCAGAGAATAACAGATACGAAAAAATCAATCTCAAATTGAGCCATTTAATCGCAAGTTTTCCATGAAGAATTCACTAGACATCAGAAACCACTAAATGCAGCAGTCCTGTTCAGATGAATGATGAAATATCAAAGCCCGACCACAATTGACAAAAAGAAAAGGAATACCCACCCTGCTTTCTGTACTCTCAATTTTTTCATTGTACACATTTTTATGCACAGTAAAGAATTGAAAATACCATTTTGCATTGCCAGAAGATAACTGTGAAGTATCCTGATTCTGCTGTTCAGCATTTTGATGGCACTGTGAATACCCGCAAGGTGAGCAGCCACTGCATTCAAGATCAAATTTCTCTCATTATGGACATATCATTACCAGATCAAAACATGAAAGACAATAAGTACTAATGAAGTTTTAACCCCAGATTGAAATAAATAGAGGTACAGGATCACTCACGTTGAGTTGCAGCAGAGCCTCCATCAGATGGTTTCAAATGTGCAACATGATCAACAGATATTCGCTCAGCTTCTACTGTCTTTGAAGAGTAAGAAATGTGTGAGAAACTCAATAACAAGAATTGCAACAAGTTTGAGGACTCGAGAAACGAAGGAGTGAACCAACCTCTATAGTGTAACTTGAGCGAACAAAAATTAGCTGGGGGATCCCTTCTATAAGATGTAGCTCTGTAGTTGTAAGAACCGCAAAGAACAGGAGTTAATACCACCATGCAAACAAATTTGCGAGGCATTTAAAATATCTCATTATTTGAAGAGTCAAAGTTTCACTTTCCCTTCTCACAAACAAATGTTATTAATCCATATTATACAGAACATATTTTTTTATTTTAGAAGTACATAGCCCAAAGAAAAATATCATATCATCAACATTCCAGAGTTTTCTCTTGGATATATACAGACAGTCCATTCCCAAGTCAACGGTTTACAGAACAGCTTACTAAATAACTCTCTCCTACTTACAACTTCTGCAATCCTCGATAGCCCATTAGCTGTAAGAGCCAAGTCAATTATTTGTCTCCCTACAACGAATGCACCCTTGAATTCTGAAGTTGCTGATGGAAGGACCTCTTCAATCTCTTTGCCAAAACCTTAGCAATAATCTTATAGACACTTGTGTTCAGACTAATGGGTCTAACGTCTTTAACTTTCATTGCCCTCTCTTTCTTAGGAATCAGGAAAACAAAAGTATCATTCAGAGAGGTATCAAGAATGCCCCTCTCAAAGAACTCCCTGAACACCCTTTCAAGAACGTCCTTAATGCCTTCTCAATTATCATGGAATAAATCCAGAGACCCATCAGGGTTGAGGGACTTATTCCTTTTGCACTCTACAGGCTTTCTTCTTTCTTTCAGCGAGAAAGGACCATTCACAATCAAACTTTTCACCCTACCAAATGGAAACAAGTCCAGCCCTTAAACAGAGGGCCAATTGCTAGCACCCAGGTCAAATAAACCAGAGAAAAAGGAAAGGATTTCCTCCTCAATTTACTTCTCCCCCTAACCATCTCCCTCCAATCATTTTCAAGAGAATCAATAAAACGATGAAACAAAGCCATATTAATATCCCCATCCTTCGCCCACATAGCTTTAGCTTTTTGCCTCTAATTGACAGTTTCTCGCTCGACCAACTTCACAAACTCCACCTTAAAAGACAAGCTTCCCTCCTTGAGCATCTCAAAAAAAAAAAAAAAAAAAAAAAAANTTCCACATATTTCAATTTACTGTTCAATGCTCTCCAACCGATGTAGAATCTCACAACAAACACGATTAAACGATTAAACTTTAGAGTTATTGCATTCGGTGATGCGTTTTTTGATTACTAATCTAAATCGGGGAATGAATAAAGTTGGATGGAGAAGATTGAAGGAGCATCTCTACATGGTTATCCCACCAAATGAAAATTTGTTTTGGCATGCTAAGATGGACTTGACTTATTCCAACATAGCCTTAATGAGAGTATCAAATGCCCAAACCATCACCCACACTAAAACTGGTCAAACTTTCTCTGAGTTTTATTTTAAAATAAATAAAAAATAAAAATTCAGTCAAAAGTGATTCTTTAGTGAAAATTATTGAAGAAAAAAAAAAAAAAAAAAAAAAAAAAAAACCCATGTTCAAGCCCATAAATGACGTTAATATACTAAAAAGCTACCGTATTTTTAATTTCCCATAAAACGACATCCTTCCTAGTTGTCTGGAACGACCATATTCCACTATGATGGAAAAGAAGCCTTGAACGAAGGATGGCCAAGCCACATATTCTCAATGAAAAGGATAAGGGCCCCACTTCATTGAGCGAGAACTAAAAATATGCAGTCAGTGGTCCGAGTAACTATAGGCCGTAACACCTGTCTCCAATACCGCACCCATCCACCTACTCCTTTGCCATAAAAAAACCTATCAATCTTACTAGCACCCTCCAACTAGACCAAGTAAACCTCCCATTAACTAAACGAGGACCCAAAAGATTACAACCCTGATGAAATCATTAAAAAGCCTCATAGATCTCATAACTCTCCCTCCTAACGCCTTCTTCAAAGGAGAACAAACAATATTAAAATCCCTTCAACACACCAACGGGGCCCACAATAGCCTGACAAATCTCCCTAACTCTTCTAAAAACTCTTGTCAAACTCAAATC